TATCACATCTTTACTTCACTACACATGTAGGTTGCCATAAGTTGCCTAATGTTCTTTATTATCAATTAAATGTTATTCAGAACAAATTAAATAGTTCATGAACAACAAAAAATTTAAAAAAAAAAACCCGTTCGACTTTATCCGAAGAATGTACAACAAAATGATGTATGATCTGTTACAAATAAATCGACAAAATCAATTATTTTGAAATGAGATCCATATTTTATTAGTTCATATCAATGTTTAAATAACATTCATCCTTCTGTCCGTAGATAAAGATGCACTAAGACAACGCTTAGTTAACAAAGTAAGATGTGACTTTCTGTTTATCCAGTAGCTTACATTTTATTTATTGGCCGTTTAGTTTAAATGGTATAATTTAACTTATCTAAAATGTGAACTTGAAATGTTGATTAAGTCTGAATTGCCGTTACTGAGTTAAATTAATTTCGTTCAAAATGACATGGGGCCAATTTGCAGGTATCATCAAATATGATTTTTGTATTTTGTCTCAGCGTGTTATTATTACATACTGTAATACTGTGTCTCGCTAACACATTAAAATGTAATTTGAACAACAACAAAAACTCTTTTATTGGTTATATTAGGTACCAACGCTATCTTCATTAAAAAATAAAGGTCAGTCAAGCTATTGAAGTATTATACTGATATGTCAATTTAATACTTTTATGATCAAAATAAAAACAATGTAATTATATTTTTTTCTTCATAAAAGTGCATGTTATAAAGGGTGAGAGGCACATGTTAGCGGTTAACAAATGGTAGAATACATAAAGTCGTTAGAACAGTAATGTAGGAAAAAGTAAAATAACAAAAACACCGAACTTCAAGGAAAATTCCAAAAAGACCAAACACATCAAACGAATGGAAAACAACTGTCATATTCCTGACTTGGTACAGGCATTTCCTTATGTAGAAAATGGTGGATTAAACCTGGTTTTATTATAGCTAAACCTCTCACTTGTATGACAGTCGCACAGAATTTCACTATATTGACAACAATGTGTAAGCAAAACAAACCGAAATAATAGGTAGAAATGTTATAAATTGGGGTACAGCAGTCAACAATGCGTTATGATCTTAATCACTATAAAAACAAACAACTATGTCAACAAAGAAAAACAATATGGCATATGCACACTATATAGACAAAGCACATAAGCAAAAATGAAAGACAAGAATACAAAAAAATGACCATAGCACAATAACACAATGGTGGGATGTATAAATACCGAGCCACGCCAAAAGGATATTACAAAAAATGGACTATACATTAAAGGTTAAAAATATACCAAGAAACATAAAAAAGAACAATTAAACATGTATTTAAGATGATAAACAATGTCAGTACCTAGAATCTTTACTTCAAGACCTGCATGTATTATTTGTGAAGTTGATACGGAAGAGGTCTAGCTTGGACTTAGGAAGAGTAAGTTTGATATACTGGTAAGTGAGTAAAAAAGGTCCGCAACTTTTCAAAGAGAAAAACAAAATACACAAGTTTTAGCAAGTGTAGAAGAAATAAAAGTTTGGAAAAGAAAAAAAAATGTTTATCCACTGACACTAACCTACAGAAAAAATAAGTGAACCCCCAGTTTTTTGTGGGATTCGTGTTGCTTAGTCTTAAGTTTTCTATGTTGTGTCATCTGTACTATTATTTGTCTGTTTGTCTTTTTATTTTTGGCCATGGCGTTGTCAGTTTGTTTTCGATCTATGAGTTTGACTGTCCCTCTGGTATCTTTCGTCCCTCTTTAATCGCATATCATTGAAAATGCACAACAATGTCTGGGAAGAAAGGTACTGTTTCGTAAAAATCACATTATATATCTTTAATGATTTGAAAACAACTCTGACATTCTGGTTGTTATTTTGTTTTTATTCTTAGAACGATTCAGAACGTGACATTGTCTAGACATCGGTTTATTGTGAAAGACAGTATGTTGACCGATAGATGACAAGGGATGAAGGAGCTTGCGATGGCCTATATTATGATTGAGCTGAAGTATTAGTATAATAGTAGTTTCGTGCTGCTTTGGTAATTCTACAAAATTAATTATTATTTCCACTACTTTAGTATAAAAACCAACGGAGACATAACGGTAGCATATTTATTTTTGCCATAGCTTATTGAAGGTTAAGCTTATAGAAGGCTTTCCAAAAAGGGAATTATTAAAACATTTTAAGAAATAATATATGTAGCTATACTAGTAAACGTAAATAATTCTGCTCTAAAATGATTCATCCATAAATAGAAGTAAACCAACAAAATTTCTCATTCCACCTGTATGTTTTGAGTCTTTAAATCAAGTATACTAGTCAACAAAAGAAACGATACACAAGTTTGAACTCCAATTTATCATAAAATATGATAAATAAGAAAAACTGTTAAATTATCCAATGAAAAACATTCATTTGCCAAGCAAATGCATATGAGTAAAAGAATCTGACCAAATTGGAAAGTTAAAAAATACCGTGTTATTGAACATAGGGGTCAATTTTTTTTTGCGGAAAATGATGTCAAAAGTTCAAAATTTTAAGCAGACCATGTTTAAGTTTAAAGTTTTAAGTTCAAATATCGAGTTTTGAATTTTTGAGTGAAGATACGATTTTTGAAATAACAAAAATTCCCCCCAAAAAAATTTCGCGTATTTGCCTTAAATCAAAGGTTTTGATATGAAAATAACACTCTGTAAATATTAGACCAATTGGGTAAATATTTATCTTGGTACAGTGTATCCAATTTGAAAATACATTGCCGTGTATCGTTTCTTTTGTTGACTAGTATATATTCAAACATTTTTTGATACATTTTTTTGTTGTTCCTAATATATTTTTGCATCAAGTCATATCATTTGGGATGTTAGTTAAATCCTAATGTACGAGGCATAACGCGTCAAAGTGAAGTAACTCGGACTCTTATCCTGGCATTTTTTCTTATGGGAATCACCATTAATTCTCAGTAACAATCTCTTTTTATAACACATACTTTGACTATCACTCCCATTTACGGTGCATATGATATATTTTGAGTCGGTTCTGTTGTTTATTGTCCAACACTTTTAATAACATACGTACAACTAGTACTAACTTTATTTTGATATTGACAGACACTTTAAGTATAACACTCATTTATAACAATTAACCTTTTAAATAAAATAATTTGAATCAAAGATACGAAAATCCGTTTTGATTGCCAATGTAATAGACCTAAACTATTGTTGCAAGGGTTCTTTGCTTTAGAGAGTGTGGCACTCTCGGAATAAAAATTACAATTCCGACCGGACTGGACTGCGTACATAAACACCCGCAATCTAAACGTACGCTCCTGTTAAAATCAACACACAAAAACTAAATAAACAAACAAACGACCAGACAAACAATTGCACATAGAAACATGAAGATTGAGCAATCAGATTTAAATCGAAGTCTGGGGGGAATGGGGGTGTTGCGGGTTGTCAATCAGTGTCAGCTCCAAGATATAAATTAAAGTTTTCCATTCATATGCCGTTAAATAGTATAATTCCGATTATCCCTATGATTTGTATAGTTTTTTCTCGTTTTGTGTATTAGATTCGTGTTTTTGATACATTCAATTTATGTGCAGTAAAGTTGCAAAGTAATGGAGTTCAAAGGTAAGTCAGACGGAAAATTGTAGAATTTTGGAGTTATTTTGAGTGTCAACAACGTATACTTAGTAACTAAAAAAACCTGATTTTTTTTATTATTGAATAAACTACCTACATGTACAATATAAAACGTTTTAATTTCTCAATGAAAGACTAATTCCTATTATGAATAAACTTAATAGTGTAATTTTAAGTTTATATTTTTACAAAATCATTAATGTATCACCTGCTTTCGATCAAATGCCGCTTCTCCTCGGAATTTGGAGAAAATTCGAAAGCAGATGTATATGTCAGTCTAGTACCAAAGTTCCCTTTTGAGGACAATAGTGAACTTAATATAATATTAGTGATCATAGATATACATAGAAACACTGTTAGTGCTATAATGTAAGTTCTGTTTTCATCGGATGTATTGCTTTTGTCATCTGAAAAAAAAAGAGTTCAAAAGTTATAATCAATGTGACAAATATAACCTTCGTATGCATGGGTAAATAATACCAATTTTAATTCTAAGCTACCGTATATTTTAATCATTGTAACATATATTGCCGGACATCATCGAAAATACTGAATGCAGTTTTGTAAACAAAAAGAACATTATATGATAGATTAGAGTTTGACATCCAATGAGAACTATTACATGCATGTTAGGACGTTAAGATGTTAGAAATTTTAATGTGATACGAATATTAACCCTACTTTGTACTAGATCGACAGGTTGAAACGGGTTATGTAATGAGTTATGAGTTAACTAGAACTGTATCAGACTGTAGGGATACATTATACCCTAAAATGAAACTTTTTTTTCTGATTTCGAGCCCATCCGTCTTTGGTTGTACTCTTAAATGCCGCATGCTTAGGGGAGAAGCACCTAATTTCAAATTTAAAGTTCTTGGTTTGATACGACCGGGGATCGAAACCACGACCCTTATTTCGAGGCGAGCACGAGACCACCAGACCACCGTTTTCAATGTGTTGCAAGAAAAAATTGACAAAATTGAAAACAGTTTTCTAAATAAAAAGAAGACACTTACTATTCACAAATAAAGAACTAAATTTGCAGAATGTCTGTTATATCTTTTATTGTACTGTTTGTTTTGTTTTTTAAACAAGCATACACTTTACATCAAGTATGAAGGGCATTTTTCGTGTTTTTTGTCCTTAACGTTTCTTTCGTTGTTACTCTTTATTAAAAAGTTAGCTAAGAACCATCGACCTCTGATTAAAAACAATATTTTCTTTTTGCCTATGATATAACCTAAATTAACCTAAATGTCTATTATTTTTCTCTTACGCAATTAAAATATTTATGAAATAGAAGAATTAAATATGTCCAAACTTTCATAAGACTGTCTAACTAATTGTACCTGTATCTGTCGAATCTGTTGAATCAGTAAGCAATCCGTCACCAAAAAGTACATCGTTTCCATTATCGTTCAAGACAAAATCACCACATGTTCTAAAGTTATTTGGTAATACAGGCATCTGTGTTCTATTGCCTTCTTGTAACACCAAAGCCATTCCATCTACATTATGCAGTTCAATGTGACAGTGGAAATACCAATAACCTTAAACAAAATAGTTATATGTCTTATGTAGTTTTAATTCGATGAATTTATCGAATATTCAATTAAAGGAAGTGGTCGATTTGATGTTAAATGTTAACAGGTTTCAAATTATCAATATCCACGGAATATCATCGATGTCTGAAGAAACCCGATTTCATGCATTCAAAGTAATATTTTCGTCAAATTCTATGAACTATTTTCAAATAAATCATCAAAAGTTCTTTGAATCACAATCCAAAGTAACAGTATCAAATAGTCATAACCCCTGTTTATGTAACCGATCAATTGAAGGATTAACCAGGATATTTTACTACAGTATAATATCACATGCTTTTCTTTTGTTTTCATTCAAATAGCTTTCATTTGTACGTTGTTTGCATTGTGAGTTATTCTTCAACTTTAGATTTTTCTACCCAAAGATGTTAGGTCGAATGCGGAAAAAAAATATTACATGCGCACCTCTATTTAGATTGACACCAATGAGCTTTATTTGGGAAGAACTATTATTCCATCGCATTACCACATATACTTTAGGTTAGATAGATACAAGTAAAACATACCAGGGTTATCAGCAACAATTCGTATTACAACATATCCACCCCAGGGCACAATGATAGTGTCTTTAATTGGTGGATTGTCAACATTCATCCCTGGCACATTGCCAAAATTCCACGATTCGTCCGCCCATTCAGCTCTGTTGCACTCAAGTGTATTACATTTTATATGAGGATTCATCCTGGTCAGGTTTCCAGTTTTATTATCATATTCAGGAAATCCTATCTTCATTACATGAAACCTGTGACCGTGCATATGTACAGGATGAGCTCTTCCGAAACCAGTAGGTTCTATACAATTTGAGATTTCAGAGATATATGCAAAAAGTTTTAAAAAAAGTTCATTCAAAATGCAAATAATTAAAGACTTCATACAGTACAATTTTGTTACCGGTGTGCTTGTAAAATCATGGCCTATAAATTAAAATGTTTTCGTGTATTTACTTTAAACCAAACAAAAGATAAGAATCGCCCTTGACTAATTTTGGTGCGTCCGAAGCGCTATTCTGAATCTACTTCTATATGAAACACTCAAGACAAAAACACTGAATGCCAATAATGTATAATTACTTAAAAAACAACATGACGTAAACTGTATAGCCCAAAACCACATCATTTTAAATTTTGCAGGAGGTAGGTGAAAACAGTTAAATGCTAAAATACAAAATAATAGAGAACTATATTTTCACAGTTGAGAGGTGGATCCCAATTCAACAAAAGTATATTAATATTTGTTTACCATAATTTATAAGTACAAACTGGATCACGTTTCCTAATTTCAGGTTGAGAATATGTGTACAGGTACACACTGAAGTGCAATCCTGAAAGTCACATGACGTTGATGAATCTGGACTGTCAGAATCTACCTATAAAATTATAATGATTTCTGATATTGATTGTTGTCATTGAAAAAATCTTGTTGGTTTTTGAGATGTTATAAGACCATATATTGACCTCTATAGTTGCCTTCTTGGTTTTGTGTCATCATTTGTGTCTTCACATTTCATATTATCGATATCTAAGTAAGAAAACAAAACACATTTTTTTTCTTAATACGATACAAAAAGAGATACAATACACAGGACAAATACCACCACTAATGCATCAAAACAAACGTTACAAATTGATGTTTTAGGGTTATAGGGAAAAACATTGGAGTTTTTTTTTATCATGTAACGAAAAATATGACACAATGAATCGAATAAAGATTATCAATAAAAGCTTAGTAATTAATTTATTACATATAGAATGAAAAAAAAATGTTATCTGTTACTTACAGTACCAAATCAAATAAATAACCCTATAAAACTATTTTTTTACTTACAAGAAGAGGAGATGCAGGTAAATTCATTCTAATTCCGTTTATAGAGGACTGCGCTTTTGGATTATTATTTAAGGCTGAAAAAATAAACCGTGTTATCTGTTATTTATATTTTAAATCTTGCAGTGCTTTTCCTATTTTTATTTTTAATCAAAATACTGTCATATACATATACATGTTTAACAATACTGGGAAAGTTCCTGTGCTGTGGGCTAAAGACGTAATTACAGTACTAGTACAATAACGTTCGTCGTCAGACCCAAGAGACCGACTCTCATGTCATGTTTAAAAAAAACATCGTCACGCAGCTGACCACATTTCGCCGATAACTGCGTTAACAGTCAACAGTTCATTTCATTTCATTATTGAACATTTAAGAGGCATATGTAATGATTCTGTAAATAGAGTGTACTTATATAATAAAATCGAGACGTTAGTAGTAAGTCCTAAATAGATCTAAAATGATAAAGACTTTGGGATCTTTATATGATAATGTTTAGTCTAATATAAAGGTTAAATTTTATTTTAATGGATTGGTTCCCCGTTAAAAGTGGTTTCAGACAAGTTTGCATTGACTAACTTTTATAGTTCAATATTAAATTTAATTGATAAAGTCACGAATTCAAATTATGGGTACTAACACAGTCAGCTTATCGAGAAAACACATACAACGTCAGTAAATAATCTAATTTAATGAATTTTAATGACAAAATTGGAAAAATAAAACTGTCTGTCAAAATGGTTCAACATTATGATCAGTATCCGAGGAAAATCTAGTTTCAAAAGTACATCGTTTTTACAAAACTACTAAAGGCAGACTACTCATCGAAATTTCAAGGAAATAAATATGTAAAAAACATGATTTTTTTCATATTATGAATGCATAAACTACTTTCTTTTGAAATATCGTTCCAAATTATTGTGTGAAATGGTTCTGAAACTTATTTTGTTTTAGTTTAATCAAAAACTTGGCAAAAATGGGAATATTTGTAAAATTGATATTTCGGATCGTGAAAGATCGGGTAGCGCTATTTGATGATCGTAAAAAGTATCGTTGAAGATCTGTTGCCGCTAATTCGTTATTGCAAAAATCCACGAAACAATCAGATCATTCTTTAATGGGATGACATTATAATTATTTGTAATTGGTATATCAAAAAAAAAAGTTTGCATGACTTAATCCGCTTCACTTTTGTTTTCGAATAGGGCTATGTCTTAGATAAATGATTTTTTATGAGTTGTTATTTGCTTTGAACTAGCTGTCAGTAACTGCGAGTACTCTCATATCTCACTACGATACTTTGTGTCTTGTTTGTTGTTATTGATGTATAAATACCCTGCCACTTCCGGTCTGTGTTTTTGTAAGATGTTTTTTTCTGCTTTGTATAAATCTGATAAGTTAAACCATTTTCAACTGACTTTTATGGTTTGTTCTTATGTTGTACTGTTACGTCACTGTCCCAGGTTAGAGGGAGGGTTGGCGCCTTTAAACATGTTTAACCCCGCTACATAGTCGTATACGTTATGGAATTTTCTCATTGTTTAAGGCCGTACGGTTGCCTATGATTGCTTACATCCACTTCATTTTAACTTTGGTAGATAGTTGTCTTATTGCCAATCATACCACATCTCCTTATTTTTATTATTATTGTTCAATGACATAAGATCTGATTATTTGATAAGATCTGATTATTTGATGATACTACATCGACTATTTGCTTTATAATAATATAAGTCCGTCTGTCCGTCCTGCATAAGTTTTATGTCGTATGAAAAGTTGAGGTTGTCTCATCTGATTTCCATTAATTTTTATGCACAGTCATATCTATAAAACGAAGACCCTTGTTAATTTTTGTTAAAAATAGAATGAAAAAAATTGTCTTAAAAACCACAGGACAACTGTGATCATATTCCTGACTTGGCAAGGCATTGTCCTAAGAAAATTGTGTCAGGTTTTCTAGCTAGCTAAAACGCCCAGACAGTTTTTTAATGTTTCGTAACATTGCAAAATTTGGTGAGCAACCCAAACAGACATAGTTGGTTAAGGTGGCCATAACTGGGATCCAAAACATACATCACAGACATACAACACAACTGAATCAAACGTTCAAACACACTTACATTTCAAACAAAGACGCCAACAAAAAAGAAGTTTGTAGTTGATAATGCAGTAAGTATAGTAAAGCATAATGACATATACAATTTCCCGATAAAATATAAAATAAGTAAAATATAAATACAAGGGTATACAAAACAACACTATAAACACCTCATGTGTCCGAATCGCATCTCTGGACCCATCCGCATAAGGAACGACAAAAGCAAAAAACCTGAAAGCTGGATGTACATATACCAAACCACGTCAAGAGTCATACGACCAAATGGAACGTACGGTGACCTATAGTTGTTAATTTCTATGTCAGTTGGTCTCTTGTGGAGAGTTGTCTCATTGGCAATCATACCACATCTTTTTATTTTTATATAAATGTACAAAGACAAATAAAGGTAAAACTGTAAAGTAGATAAAATTCTACACAGATTCAGCACCTAGAATCTATAACTCAAGACCATCCTATAATATTTGTGAAGTAGACACTAAATATTCATCTATTAGATCTTGGTAATTTCCGATGAACCTTTTGATAAAAGGAACGAAATGTTCTTTCACAAATATCTGGCTGATTTTTTTTTTGCTCAGGCATTGATGAAAATTTACAAAATGGCTGCAAGATCCGAATATCGTATGTGTTGAGAAATGAATATCCATACGCGGATGAAGTTGGTAAATTGCTGCTAAGGTGAGGAAAATTTATTATTTCAAAGTTGAAATCATTTCGTTAATCATAGACTCGGGTATTGAGATGACCGCCGTAGTCCATTGCAGGGTATATGGGTCTAAAAATGGAAGCTGTATATGTGGTGTCTGTAATCTCTAGTTCAGGACTATTACTGGATCCAAAATCATAAAATTGTGTATTGATAATGGAAAGAACATCTTAAATATACCTATATGATACTTTTCGACAATTTACGCTCTTAGAGGTCTTATAATCTTGGACGCTTAGTTAGCACTGCCTCTTAAAGGAAAACAGGTCTGAAAATGGGTCTTTATGTACAAAGAAGCAATGTTTGACCACCGTTAGTTCTTCTTTCACAATCATTTTCTCGATATACCGAATGACACCCGTGTTGTTTTTATTGTTAAGAAAAAAATAACAAAGATATTGATGTCAAATAAGGTATTATCCTTCTTTAAAAAAAACTTTATTCTCCTTAACCAAGTATACACATTATTATTCAGTAAGGTACATTAAGTGAAATCATTACCAGCATTTGTCACTGCACTTATTTACCAAAGGATAAACGGTATACAAGATATGTATTGTTATGATGTGAACACCAGAGTCTCTGTGTGGTTGTAGACTATGATAAGTGGTTTGATCTTGAGTTGGAATTCAAAACGTTTTCTGAACAAAAATTTCTTCGACAATTATAAAAGTCTATTTTGAAATAACAAAGGCAGCTAAATACATATTAGTCAATTGTATTGCAAAATATATTATAACTAACAAAAAATTATAAAATTAAATTAAATATTCATAGTTTTTAAAGAATGGTATGGAATTATTCTGAAACTGCGACTTACTCGTAAAGTGAAAATTCATGAAGAATTCTTGGAAGTTATTTTTAGATCCCGGCAATGGAACAGGAAATCTATCTATTTCCGATTTCAACGACTTTAGGGATGCCATTGGTACACAATATGTGTTTAGTTGGTCTGGAAATTTGCTAAAACATACAAAACATATAATATTGATTAAGATAAAAGGAATGATTAGATAAAAGAAAGAGAAGATGTTTCATACAATATATATAACCCCTTTTCTACCGAAAGATGTTTGCTTTAAATGTCCTATTATCTTATGAAATATGGGACACTAGGTCATTTTTAGGCAAATAAAACATTTAAATAACATGGTTTTGAACAGTTTTTAAGGTCACAAGTCCTTTTAAATGCTACATCATGTCACAAGGTCGCCCATCAAATCCATCAATGTCGCAGGTCGGATATGACCATATTGGAGAAACAAATATAGTTAATGTAATGACCTCCGAAATTAAACTGACCATGGTATTTTTCAAAATTTATAATGATTTTTTTTTTTATATTGAAGAACGAACTTCGCCTGAATATACTTTAGATGAAATCCAATTGAATCCTGGAAAAGAACAAAGCTGTGTTGAAGCAAACTTGACATTCGAACATATAATGTTCTCTTTTACTGATTGGTCAGCTTATGAGATACGTAAAGATGTTTTTTAGTCTCATTTCTAGGTAAAGAAAGTAAAATACAAAAGCAAAACTGTGTTATTCCAATATCCTTAAAGGGGCACTAGCTGTCAAATTCATGTTCACCGATTTGACTCAAATTCTCATATTTGATTTATAACCATGTAAAACATTTATCCAAATTATAAAAGGTCTAAAATAAACAATGTACATGGCATGGGCTCGATAATATGCAGCTTCGTTTTGTGTGTATTTTAGTCTTGACGACATCTAATAAACCATCGAGTTGACCTCCGAAGACCTCCGATGGTCATATAAGCTATATAAACATAAATATAGATATAGATAGAAAGCGAACTCGTGCAATTGGATTTTTCTAGGTCTGTTTAATTTCATATTATAGATTAAAAAATATATATTAATAATCGTTTTAACCTGTATAAGAATGATTTTTGTGGATCGAATCAGTCAATCAAACGATTTACCTTTGTTTCACTTTCAATGTTAACATTCTTTTCCTTTAAATAACCGAACACGCACAATTCATGCGTTATCCATCTCTAGCTAAGGGGTTAGATTTTTAAGTTCACATGAATACGGATTCAATGAGGTCGAATTATTCACTTGCAAGTGAATAATTCATCATCAATGTTTCTTAGCTTAATTTGGCAAAATTGAACCATACTGGCTGCTAAAAGCGAATTATTATTTCACTATTTCACTTTCATTAATGATTAAACAAAACAAAAAAAATCATACTTTAGATTTTTTATATATCTCGTAGCTAGTGACCCTTTAATAACGATAAAAAAATTTAAAACCGTCACATTCATAGTGTACATTGTTGGAGAAGATACCAGAGGGGCAATCATAAACAACAACAGACAAAACCATGGACAAAAGAAGAAAGACGAACAAACTGATTACAGTTCAAAAACACTCAACATAATTTGGGCAGCACACACCCAACCAAAATCCGACAATGAACTCAGGAGCTCTTAAAAGGTGAGTAGTCCTGGGCCTGTTGATCGAACGTGTCATAGGATCTGTGCTAAGACATATCTTAGGACACGATTTAGGATGGACTTATGACTGTCCTAGGACATGTCTGAGCATGCACATCGAAGCTCTCTAAGGATGATCTTACCTAGGATGTCCTAACTGCTATCTTACGTCTTAAGTGTAGTATATATTTCCAATACGTATATTCATAATTTTTGTTTCTTATGTACTTCCCACTTTTGACCGTATATAATCTTTTATTCTGTATTCAAATAAACTTTGAACGTAACGAATGATACTTTCACACGTTAAAGGAGTAATAGAGAAAACACAAAGGAAAAGTGCATCTCTAATCGATCGGTGCAAAGGTTCAGATAATCTTACCCAAAGAGACAGTTAATCAAACGACATGGATGATCTGTTGTGCATTCTGTTCTAAAACTTGTTGGTTCATCACTTGTAGCCGTTGCATATCTCAAAATACCATAACCTTTTACCATATTTATTGGCTTCTGAAAATAAACTAGAATTAGATAAAAAAAAAATATTGCATCAGATAAATACAGGTGATATCACATCATTCAAATATTTCCTTTGTGGCTATACTATATGTTAACAAACCTCATTTGTATCTTTTGCTGCCATGTCTTCCATCCGTATCCAATAGTTACCAACAGGAGCATTGGCTTGGATCTCAACATCTATCCTCTCCGCTGAATGTAGTATAACAGATTCTGCTTGTTCTTCTTCCACTTCAGTCCCATCAACTGCCACAACTTTCAATTCATGCTAGTTGTGAACAAAACAAATTTAATATATGATTATATATGTCGCCGAATTTCACTTGACCTCAAAATTACCATCGATATCTACAGTTTGTATTTGCCTCTCTTTCTATGATTTTTTTTTCGAGAATTGAAGTAAAACAAATTAAATGTCTTTTAGCTGTATTACTCAGCGAAAATTAGAACTGCGTTTGAGTATTTACAACATGGATCAAATATAATAGACCGTTTTTAAAGATAGATGTGCAACAATATTTTCATTATATTTCATCAAACATGTTTCTAAGAAAAACTCGCATCATGGGAAGATAAGTATATGAGTATTTGATGGTTTATGTCGTAAAACAATTGTCTGGGCAATCGTCAAAGAAATACAGCTGAAGATCATATGAAAATTAAAATTTGACATAACTATGATTGATAAATATACAGAAACATCTTACGTTGTCAATAGACACACGGTAAGCATTCATTGCTGCTAAACTTATAATTCTAAATCTGTATCGACCACCCTGCTTCACAACAAATACTTCTAATGGTATATATGGATAATAAGTAGACCCATCTTCCTCGTATCGTCTTCCTGTAAAAAACAATACGGACAAGAATGTTGTTGATGTCTTTTTTGGGGTTATTATGTCTTTTGCTCGTTGTCTCATTAACTAATATTTACGTTACATCTCTTTTAATTGTATTTAATACATTTTGCGGAATACCACATTTATATGCCTAGCTTAATTACTGTATTTTGTGCGATGACGTTATTATATGAAACATAAGATGCTTTTTATTAAAAATTTTTTGGGTCTTATTGACGACTTACTAAGCTCCTTTTTTCTCATAACAAATTTGGCAGGTAACGGTTTCGATTCGGGACCGGAAATGTTTTACATAGTCTGTGATTCGTTTACATGCACTGTTAATAATTTCCATTTTTACATTGGATGACCGTGAGGGCATTCCGGTGTATTGTTGCCACAGACATTTCTACCCACGTGACTTTCGTTTTTGACTGATAACCAAACGCAAAATAACATTCCTTATCGCTTGTTATATATCAATTTCATCAATAAATATTCATGAAAATAATTTTTAAGAACATAGATAAATGATATGAAAATGTTTTGTCGTGAGAAATATATATATCAATAACAAATCAAGAATACAGAAAAATTGTGTTAACGCATGCGGAAGAATATCTCAAGAACGTTTTGCGGGAAAATATGAATGCCTACTCATATCCAATCTATTAGAAAAATCGAATTATTACAGAAGAGTGTCCACCATGCACTTGCGCTGCTCTATTATTAGAATAGTAAAATAGAATGATATACAAATGGATGAACATTATATATACATGTAACTCTTATATACAAATATTAATATAATATATAACAACAAACCAGAGTATACTGATTGGTATCACTCCCAATATAATAATTATTACGGTTAGGTTGAATTCCGTGTCATTTATTCATCATCCACGCACGAACTTGTCTGAGAAAAAAATATATATCTATGTACCTTAACCTCACTTTAAGGTATAGAGATGTGATTTTTTTTCTGAGACAAGTGCTTGTAACCATCCACAAGAAATTGCGGTCATCCGATGTTCAGTACTTCAGTACTTTGATTGTATTCGATATGGTTTAATTTGCGTTTTCTCCAATGATACTAGAATGAAGTATTTTCTTAATTCTGTGTTGGAAGGGAGAAAACCCATATGAGAATATGTCGACAAATGCATTAAAGATATAAGGTTACCTTTTGCATTTATAACTGGTGTTTGTATTCCCCGTTGTCCTATTTCTGCATAATCATATGTTCTTTTGACCTCAAAACACTTTTCTCCTTTTAAGTTATCTGAAAACCTTTAACATACGAATTCCAGCTCCATTATAAATCAACATTTAGGTTAATATATTTACACGAGGACTTTTTATACAATATTATATATAAACATACTAAATAAATAAATGATTTGGAAAATACGTTGAATGTATAAAAAGTCATGAGAATTCTGAATGCAAAATACGTTGAAGGTATAAAAAGTCATGAGAATTCCGAATGCAATTAGGTAAATTTCCGTTAATAATTATGTTAACATGTTGAACTTCGACCTCGGGTTCAACCGGGTTCAACCGGGGTTAATAAATCAATTCACAAATAGAGATCTCCTTGCGCTCAAATGTAATTCTTAGTGAAGTATACTGGCAACTTCTTTTACAGAAATATATACACATTTTATCATTAATATATTGTCATGCTTCTGCATATTCACTTTTGCTTACGCTGAACTTTAGTTAAATTTGATTCTATGCAAATTTTATTACGTCAAGCAATAGGAGTAAGAATATTTTTTTCGCGCCAATATAACCTGCATCCCCGCCTGCATCAGTATTATATTGTAATCTTTCTGACATTTCATTTAAACAGCGTTTAATAATATAGAGTAATTTTGGTAAGTATTACTTATTAATGTTAAAGTTCTCCAGAGGTCGTTGTCTAGACCTTCTTGACGGTCAGTTTAATCCCATTTATCAATTATCCCCGACGACAGAAATGTCAACCCAGTCCATTTGTGTGATGAGTGGAAATCTAATCTATTTGATGAACTAATTTCTTCATTAACTGTACATGCAATATTTATGTATTATTTGACAACCAATCACATTCACTTTGCATGTTTGCATGATAAATGGGTTATGTATGTGTGAATTGTGTAGTGTATTGTAAGGGCGATGCAAATTTGTGACGTCAGTGCTCGATCACGTGACATTATTATTTATAAACAAACGGACTCCCCATGTAACACGTGTGGGAATTATCCATACAAAGTGCAATCAATCTTATGTTTCACTATTTTATGATATTTGTGTGTCTGTTTGCAGATCAGTAGTCAAAGTAAAATAGACATGTGTTATTGTTCCTGTTCTGAGTTGTGATTTTTGGTGGAAGAAGACTTCAAGTCTTCTGAAAGCCTTTACTGCCCGGGCTGTAAAATCATTGAACCGTGACCAGGACGTATGCCGTATCCCTTTCTGTGCTTTACAATTTCATAACAACTTCCGTGCCTTATTTTTACACCGATGTTTACACATGAACTAATCTGCATCATTTAATTTATTAGTTAGGCTTGAAAAACGTTCACTATCGTTAGTGTTATAATTTCTCATGTTTTAATGTATTAATATCAACCTATTTATTTATGTAAATTATTAGATTTCATCTCATCTTACATGAACGTTATTTATTTACTTGTAACCGGATGTCTTTTAAGTAGAGTTTGTACATGCGTGAATTTGGTATCGGGTCGGTTCGCCCTGATTACATGTTCGCCCTTGGTCCGTTCGCCCTGAGTTCCTCCCTATAGAGTACATTCACCCTGGGTTCCTTCTCCTTACTTTTATCAGGAAGTATTATATTGACTGCTTTTATCAAGGACGTTTTATACGTCGTTGCAATTATTAAAAAATAATAATATTATGGGTATTAAAGTTTAATGAACTTATTCGGATATTTATATGGTATAAATTCTCGAAATTCAGAACCACGTTGGTTATGTATCTGCGCATGTGCACAAATGGGAAATTTAATTGTGCATCTGAAAGTTCAAAATAATGATATACAGAATTGTCATATATTCATACAATCCATCTTGAGGTAAAGTCAAGTATATACGTGGAGAGTACGACTTCAAATCAATGATGCTTGAAAAAAGCAACAGATTTAGTTGTTCCGCCTGCGTTCAGGTCTTTATTCATATTCCAGTTTTAGACAACATGTGTTTTTTAAAACGAAAGTTAGAATATTTAAGTATGTTATTGCGATGATAAAGAGTCAAGCGCACACTTGAATCTGCTGGTGTTTTACACATCAAACAATGCACCGTCTGTTGACAGAAATATCAATGTACAAACCAAGGATACAAATCCTTGTACAAACTAATGTCTGTTGTTGGATTCCATTTCGAAAGTACATAGTTTTCATGTCGGTCATTGTCGGAATGTCCCCAATGATTGCCTTTATTGCCTTAATACGTTTCAAAGTTTTAGAAGTGATAAAAAACGGGATTTAACAACTGAATAGTCCAGCCCTTTACCGTTATTCGTCATTAATTGCACCCTTTTTATACGCCCGTTTACGGGACGTATTATAGTATACCGTTGTCCATCCGTCGTCAACATGTCTGACAATAACTCAAAAACACTTTAACCAATTTGCATGAAACTTTGGTGAATTGTTTATATCTAATAACTTGGGCTCCCTTTCGTTTTTTATAAATTTTAGATATTAACTTTCCAAGTTATTGGGTTTTATTCATTAAAAAGGAGGATTTTCCAATTTTCGGAATAAAAACTCAAAAACACTTTCACCAATTTGTAAGAAACTTTATTGAATTGTTTATATCTATTGACGAAAGCTCCATTTCGATTATTATAAATTTTAGATTTTACGTTTCCGAGTTATGTGATTTTATTCATAAAAAAGGGGTGATTCTCCAGTTTTCAGACAATATCTTTAAAGTGCTTTGAGGAGTTTTCATGAAACTTTGGCGACTGGTTTATATCTATTAAGATAACCTCCCTTTAGTTTTTCATAAATTTCTGATATGACATTGAGAAGTTATTGAACTTAATTCTTTTAAAAAGCGACGGGCGTATCATGCGCTCATGGCGCAGCTGTTTATTTGATAGTGTATAGATCTGAGTGTTGTTCCATAATTATAATTCGATTTAATTAGTGGTTCAGATGTATTTTTTTAATAGATTTATCTGTGACTACGCAGAAGCACCAGGCTTGGTATGGAAAACTTTGGTAAAGTGAAGTTTAAATGGAGGTTTTCTTCAAATAATCATGCATTTTCTTGGAGATGGAAAAGGATGGGAGGGTGCAAGTATTTTTTTTTTGCAACCACGAGTAGTCATTTTGAACGTTGGGAGGAAATAAATATATTTTTAACACTTTATTCTACATGAATATCTACTTTAAAAGTATTGTGATGTTACAACGAAAACTTATTGTTGACAATCTTTCATATATTTGCAAGATTTTATATGAAGAATATAGACTCATTGATTGCTTGAGGCCAGTTTATATTTTACTGTGAATGTAAAACTAAGGAGATGTGGTATAATTGCCTTAGAGACAAATATGAGCCCAAATTGTCGTGGATAAAAGACGTAAGCAACAGGAAACTCATTTTAAGCAGTTTCTTTAAACATTTATATTGGTCAGAATATTTATCTGTATTAAAAACTATACTAGATTTTCATTTCTCGTTTCAGTGTTTTTTAAGCAGTGGCTGTACCTTTCCGGTTACTATTCATGTGTTGTGTATTATGTATCGTAACACTTTATAGTTACTGGACAGGTTGAATTTAGGCAACAAAACATCCAAACAGCACCAGATCATTATGATCATTTGCAATTCCAGCTGATTTCAGATAAGTAATAAATGATAAAAGAAAGTTAGAAAGCTCTAGTTCATGTAACCGATTTTATTAGATGATTGATAAATATTAAATACAAAAAAAACAATGATCGTAATAAAGAAAATATAAGTTTTGAGATTGAAATGAAAGTAGATCATGACATGATGTGCCTACCCATGGGAAGTTGCATACAGCAAGTCCAGTGATTTTGGCAATATCCAGTATGTATGATTAAAATAAAGATTTAAAAGATTTTGCATTGTTATCAAATTGGTACATGCATGACATGTATTATTGTATGTGACGGCAACTGGGGAAAACAGATCTCCTTGTGAAATGAAAACAGATCATGACATGATGTGCATATAGCAAGTCCAGTGATATTGACAATATCCAACTTACGTACAGATGAAAGAGACCAGTACTGATAATTAAAATAAAATTTTAAAAGATTTTGCATTGTTATTTAAGCAGTACGTGTATTATTGTATGCAGGACAGATCTCCTTATGATATCTTATACATTTAATGCCAATATATACTTTAATTAAAAATGAAATGGGGGTTTGTCATAGACACAAAATATTAACGCAGACTTACAGACTTCATATGAAGCACCTTAATAAAGTGCAGTCACCAATCTGAATAGTAGAGTGTCCCGTACAGAAACTGCTAACAAAAGCACACAAGTTTCACATGTGAAGCACATGAGATGCAAGTTAGAATTGTATGCAAATCAGATTGCTCACATGTGCAGTTTGGTAGTTCATATGTGCCCACAAAAATCTAACATAATGCTCATATGTGCAATTCAAACCTCAGGTGAGCTTTTATCATCCATGTTAGTTTTATGTCAGTTTTGTACTTTGAAAAGTTTGTCCATTCTTCTAACCATTCAAAACTAACCTAGATCATTGCTCATATATGAGCTTTTTCAAAATGACATGCCCAGTCATGTACTTCCTGTAAATTCAAATTCAAAGCATCAATTTGGAGGGAGATGGAGATGAAAAATTTTAAGCCATATTTTGTGCTATTTGAAGTTAATGGCATTGTTGGAATCTGATAACGTTAAAACCAGTGTGGCTGTGGTTAATTATTTGTAAGTTATCATTTCTATTTCATTATGTTCATTTTTGTGTCAGATTCTGAAATATAGTACAATTTTAAATCCTTTATGGGAGTATAATATGCAGGTTGCTTCAAATAAGTACTCCATGTATATAGATAATTCCTTTTTAAACTTTCTGAAATACAGTACTTAATCAATGACATTCATTATGTACTAAACTTGCAAGTCCCTCCATTAGTTTTATAATGTAATGTTATGTTTTTAGTCATTATTGTTTAAATAACAAAAAAAGACAAAATAATATGAAAATCATAATTAACTGACAGTAATTAAAGAATGGCACTTAACATGATGTGTCAGTTATTTTATTTTTAATTAAATTATTTAAGATTTTCCTTTAAATTTGAAAAATATTCCTATTTTGAAGCAGCCATTTTGTTTTGATCTTTAAATACAATTTAATCATCATCATCTGGGAATAATTAAATAACAAAATCAAACGGGTCAACTATTATTCACGTGTGCAACATGTGAGCAGCTGCTCATATGAGCAATCTGATAAAATGCACATGTGAAACAAAAGCTCATATGAGCATTTGCACGTGAGGTTTTTAACATGCAAATTAGGTTAGTTTCATATGTGCAATTTTTTTGCTCACAAAATGCTCACCTAATTTGCATGTTAAAAACCTCATGTGCAATCATGTTAGTTTCTAACGTGAGCATCTTATGTGCAACCGTTTGGTAAGGGGTATGTCTATGATATCATTTCAGCAGGCTAGGAGGTTAAGCTCACTTTCAGTAACCCCAAACACTCTTTAATACAATATAATATTGTATATTACTGTTTCATTTTATTTGTATTTTTGTAATTCATCACAATAATAGTCACCAGTTTTAGATTTATGCGCTTTTCCTATATATTTTTTATATACCGTAAATAATAAACAAACACCAAATATGTGAATTTTTTTTTAAAGATAAAAGACTTTTCAATTGAGCGATTAAACTTAAGTCACCTGGTCAAATATATATATAATTTAATTTTGGATGTAACACGTTTTCTGATTGGCTGAAAGTGTTTTGTCTATCAGCTCATAGACATAATTTTGTCATGTAACCGTGACGTTTTTATCATGATTTACGCCTTTTTAGAATTAAATTATAAGGAATGCCTGTAATATTTTTTCTTTCTATTCGAAATAACCTGAAAAATGTGGTGCACACTTTTAAATAACCCGCTACGCTGGTTATTCAGTGTGCACCACATTTTTTATGTTATTTCTTCATAGACAGAAAAAATATTACAGTCATTCCTTAAATAAAGAAACATATAATGCAAAGATGTCAGCCTTTAAACAAAACGGTCACCGAAACAGATGCCAGCATCCAAAGGACATGACTGTCAGCATTCAATTTATAATGTGTTGAGATAATTTTTACTTGGAACTGGGATTCCAGCATCCCTGAGATTAACTTTAAAGGATGAACATCCATTTTTTTAATGGGATGGCAGCATCCAAAGAGAAAGTTGAGTCTGCAGGCATATAATTGGGATGTCAGCATCCAAACAAAAGGTATATCAAAGTCTATATATATAATAGTTCCCAGCATCCAAATGCTGGTGTGTTCAATATGGAACTTTATAAAGCCATATCAGCATCCTGCAAAGATGAAGATGCTATTTCGATATTTTTATGCCCCCGCCAAAGCGGAGGGGGCATTTAGTTTTACCCTTGTCCGTCTGTACGTACGTACGTCCCAAAATTGGTTTCCGTTCTCTAACTTAAGTTTGCCTCAACCAAACTAATACACAATGCTTATTACCACAAAACACAGATCAAGTTTGAATTATGGTGGCGTCACTTTTACTGTTCTAGAGGTATGCCCTTTACAAATGAAAAAATTGCTAAATTTTTCATTTTTTTTTCTAAAAATATCAATGATGCCATTGTTCATGGAATTTTTATACGACCGCAAAAAAAATGTGCGGTCGTATATTGGTATGACGTTGGCGTCGTCGTCCGAAGACACATTGGTTTTCGCACTCTAACTTTTGTTTAAGAGAATGAATCTCTATGAAATTTTTCCATAAGGTTTAATACCACAAAAGGAAGGTTGGGATTGATTTTGGGGGTTATGGTACCAATAGTTAAGGAATTAGGGGCCAAAAAAGGGCCAAAAACAAGCATTTTTGTAACTTCCAGACATAACTTGTGTGTTAGTGTATGGATCTCTCTGACATTGTACCACAAGGTTCCATATCACAAAGGGAATGCTGGCACTGTTTTTGGGGGTAATTGCCTCAAAATATTAGGAATGAGGGGCAAAAAAATGGGGCAAAAAACAAGCATTATTCTAGTTTTGTTGACAATAACTTGTGTGTTAGTGTATGGATCTTTCTGAAATTGTACTACAAGGTTCCATATCACAAAGGGAAAGCTGGAATTGAGTTTGGGGGTAATTACCCAAAATGTTTAGGAATAAGGGGCCAAAAGGGGCTAAAAATTAGCATTTTTCTAGTTTCCAGAGAATAACTTGGTTTCAAGTGTATGGATCTCTCTGAAATTGTACTGCAAGGTAGCATACCACTAAGGGAAGGCTGGGATTGATTTTGGGGGTAATTGTCTCAATATTTTAGGAATTAGGGACAAAAAAAACAAGCATTTTTCTAGTTTCCAGACAATAACTTGTGTTCAAGTGTATGGATCTCTCTGAAATTGTACTGCAAGGTACCATACCACAAAGGGAAGGCTGGGATTGAGTTTGGGGATGATGAATCATAAGGGGGTTCAAAAAATTGGGGGGGGGGATTTTTTCCCCCTTTTTTTCTTTAAAATTTTCCATTTTAAATTGGTTATTTCTGATTTATATATAAAAGCAAATAATAATGATATGGTTTGAATAGGTAAATTAAAAAAATTAAAGTTCTTAGACCACATTCATTCTGTGTCAGAAACCTATGCTGTGTCAAATATTTAGTCACAATCCAAATTCAGTGCTGTATCAAGCTTGAATGTTGTGTCCATACTTGCCCCAACTGTTCAGGGTTCGACATCTGCGGTCGTATCAAGCTGCGCCCAGCGGAGCATTTTATTAAAATTGGAGTTATCTTCCTTTGTCCATGATCATAGTGAATCAACTACAATCATTGCTTTATACAATGCAATGTTTAATTTTGCCTTCCACTGATAAAACACAGATCAAGTTGAATTTGGGTAGTGTCACTTTAACCATTATTGAGTGATGCCCCTTTATAAATCGAAAAATTGCAAAATTTTTAGTTTCCGTTTGCCCCAACCAAACATGAAACCTATTTACAATACTTATTACTATAAAACTAAGATCAAGTACAAATTTGGGTAGCGTCACTTTTATTGTTCTTGAGTTATGTCCCTGTATAATTTTGTATGCAAGCGGGTGCATCATCTGTGTCCATGGGGACACATTCTCCATTTATTTTGTATAATCCGCCAACACATTTTTAAAATATCCTGTATACAAAAATAATAGTTGTTAATTGTATAAAACAAACTCTCAACTACAAAAGGTAATGAAAGAATTATATAGGCATCCCATATTTTTTAAAACCAATAAAATTTGTTCAGCATAATCTGCTACCCATAGAGATGAAATGAATCCGTATGCTTGAAGTAAGAATAGCATACTACATGTATATTATCATACATGAAATTGAATATTATGTCCAGAACAATGCAAGACATAGAGGTGTATACGAATGAAAGTTATGATAGATCCGAGTTTTATTCAGAATGCACCAATAAGAAACCGTAGTTTTTCTTCAATTTATTTACCTAAAACTGTTATATCAGCTGCAAAATTATTATTATATGTATGCCTACATTGCATTACACAATGGAAATTAACAATGTATATTTATATAAACGATCAAACTTGTAAATAGATAAGCAAAATGAATGCATCTGTACCAGGCGTCCATATGGCATTTAAAAGAATAAGCAATCTATGCGATTTGCATGTTTTCGTTTAATGTATGCTAGGCACACTGTAAGTTTTTCTTTAAATTTTCTATGATGGTAATATTATCTGAATGGCCATATTTCAGGAATAGTGACCTCCTTTATTATATACTCACCTGTTTATATCCCAGGCAGCCCATTTGTCTGCTGTAGCGGAACCAAATGGAAACCAATCAGATAACAAGAACACAAACTCCGATGCATCAGGTTGTCGGCTTCGTTTCTTAGTCTACATGAATGAAAACATTACTTTTTTAAGTTTTGCAATGTAAACTAAAACTGAATTTAAAAAAGAGGCGGCATTCAACAATCATAGATCATTGGAATTAAGACGGACTACACGAGCCAATTAACCAATGTATTTGGATCGTGTTATTTTTTTTTACGCATGGTTAGTCTCGAATATGCATCTGCGTGTCATGTTATACTTGTACACATATTAGATAGTTCATGTGCCTGTCCCATCATGGCAACCTCGTCAGTGGCTATCTTATGTTATTTCGTTTGTTTTGGTTATTGGAGAAATAAGATTTTTCACAAAGTTTTTAGATACGGGTGATTTAGATAGAGCTTGGCACGATATGATATGATATGATATGATTGCTAGCATTTTTCCAAAGATATTCTGATGACAACCTTTAAAATGAGTAAAACAGTATAAATATTGTAAACATCTACTTTAAGGTGTGCATTTTAAAGAAAAGTTATTGTTCCTTAAAATTACCTTAACTACTTAACTTACTTAGAGTTTTTTTTTTAAATTCTGATCTCAATGCTTCTTTACCAAAACTGAAAAGTTTCAGATAGTATAGAAAAAACAAAACAATGGTTGATACATTTTACCTTTAAACCAGAATTTTCTAATATTATGAAAGCTCCAGCTAATCCATCTGATCTCTGTGTTCCTAAATGAGAGTGGTACCAGAATGTTCCACGTGGTCGTGCCGTAAATCTAAAAGGACCAAAAAATGTGAACGAAAGAAATCACTTTACCAATAGAATGTATGTTTTTTGTTCATTTTCCACATTGCCATAGTAAATATTACGACAAATATAGCGAACAATATACGAGATAATTTTACTGTGACATTTCTTAAACGCTCTTATACATAAACCTTATCAAATAACAACTACATATAGAACTGTTTGTTGTGATGAAACGCAATTTTTAAGGTTTACGAAAAGGGAATATAAACTGTTATCACAATAATAGTTTGTTAAAGAATATTTCAATGAAATCTTATTTATTCTTCAGTTAAAAGTTAGAAAAAATATGATATTAGATTGTGGGTTTTAATGTATTGTTTCTCGTTGTTTTATATTATTTATTTTACTCATATTTGACAATGATTAATAATTATGATCTTTTTATGTATGAGATCGTATTTACCCAGATGTAGTTTCAATACTTGTGTTGTGTGTAACGATGGTTATTGTTTACTGGTTTTCCGTTCATCTGTTGAATGTTAGACTAACGATTTGTGAATTTTTAATTCTATAAGCGTATTATACAAAATTAACTGCGCATGTGTTTCTGGAATTTCAAATATCAGGTATATTCGAGGATACAACCGTTTGGTAAGCCAAACACATAAACCATTCAATAGCATCAAAACCAAATAGGATTGAGAATAGAAACGGGGAATGTGTCAAAGAGACAACAACCCGTCCGAAGAGCAGAACACAGCCGAATAGCCAAAATCGTTTGAGGAAAGCTATATTATTTCTTGTTTTTCTAGTATGTAAATTTTATAAATTTCGAATAAATACCACAAGCATTAAAATTATGCTATTAAAAGAGAGAAGAAAAAAGAAAGCCAACAACATATCTATCAATAGAAAATTTTCAGTTTTCAATTATTTTATTTTAAATCAATTATAATACCCCATGCCAGGGTGTTTATACTCTAGCACGTTATATATACCTGTAAGTGAATGTTTCTCCTGGATTGATAGGACATTGTGTCACTCTTGGTACTCCATCCATATATGGTGTTCCCTTCTGCGGCAGTCCATGCCAATGAAATGAAATACCTTCCATCCAAAGATCGTTCTTCACGTGTATCACGATCTATTTTTTAAAATTTAGAGTTAAATTTCAAACAGTTGTAATGACGATAGTATTCTTCTTTTAGTGATTTTCGTCAGAAGATATATTTTTTGAGGTATCCAGGTTTTGCGTGCAATTATCGCCACTTTTGAGATTAGTTCATTAATATTGAATATGTAAATGTACCAAAACAGTACTTAATTTGGGAATTTCTGTTTATATCTTTCAATATATCTTTTCATAACAGCGGATAAGAATATGAAGTATTATTACTACTAGTATATGTATATAATAACAAAAATGAATGGATTTCCCTTGTTTGGACTTTATGCAAATGTGTCTTTATTTGAATCTAGGTGGTACTAGTATTTTCAGCTTTTATCGGCTATATTTATAGTTGTCCCGTAATTGTAATTCCAACGAAAAAGAAAGAAAATGGATTTTGAAGCCATATGATTGGAAAACTTAATATCTCTTTCAAAACTATATCTTATATACCTGTTGTCCTTCATAAACTACCAATGAAGGCCCTGGAATTTGACTATTTATAGCAAATGCCATTCGGGGTTCACCATCACCCGTTATTATACTGTCTTGAAGGTCATCAACTATAATATACGAAACAAAAACATACAGTGTAAAAAGTTTTAAATATTTATTGTTAGCTATTAAGATTTTAAAAACGAATACTTTTAGATTTCATCAAATTATATATATTTCGTATACACATTTGGATATTTGATATATTTGCTAATGAGAAAACTAAAATGTATGCACCACTTCACCCTGTGAACTAAAGATAAAAAATTAACACAGATATCTGACGCTATAAAAAGTAAGATAGGATTCAATACAATTCATTATTTCAGTTATGTCTCCCATTATGCATACACAAAAAATACAGTCATAAAAATCGTTTTTATGCATGAGCCAATCTATGGAGTTTACGGACACAAAGTTAATAAAGCCGCCTCGAGTGCGGGAGGTCGTGGCATCGAACCCCGGCCGGGTCAAACCAAAGACTTTAAAATTGGTATTTGCTGCTTCGCCGCTAAGCACGCGGCATTAAGAAATAAGAGCAAAGAGCAAAGACTGGTCGGCTCGGAGTCTGAATAATGTGTCTGGGTAAGGTGACATGTCTTCCTGCGGACTTGTGAACTAGCACGTTAAAAATCCGGCTCAGTGTGTCGGAAAAGCCATTCATCATTCATAATTCAATAAAATTTAATTTTTAAACTGCTCTTAGTACGGGAACATACACCCCTTGTTCTGACAAGTGCTTATTACATTTAATTGATCGAATTTAAATTTTAGAAAGGCAATACGAGAGAAGTAGGAAACTTAAGACTATGACAGAGAGGATTTAAACGAATGACAGATGAGTTTTAAATGTGTAATTACAAACTAGAGATAGATCATATTGTTTAACACACCAAACAGAAAATATTATGCTATGTGTCTTTAGAGTATATGACTTTTGTAACCAAACCTGTCCTGTAAAAGTTGTTTGAGCCACAGTCTGTCCTAGCTTGCAGTGTACCATTTACTGGTACTATTGGATATCGTGTACCTGTTCCAGAGGGTGGATTGTAAACCATTGTCTGTATATAGTTAACAGTCCAATTATATTCACAAATTGTTTTAGTTATATCACAATTCGGTTCCACAACATTATCGAATGATGACGTTATCAGTTTAAAAACAAAGCATAATGGTATTGCTGTAAATATTTTCATTGTGGTCATGTTTGGCCTAAAAAGTACAAATAAAATTTTACAAAAATAAGGAATGATATGCTACCACTAATTAAAACAAAGTGTTATCAAAAGACTTTGACATATACTATGAACAGTGAAACATACAATTTCCCCCCTAATTCTATCAACATGACAGTTTTTCCTTACGAATTTATATTTTGATTAAATAAAAAACAATATGATTAAATATTGTTAGAATCTTAAAAGTACATTCGCGAAGCTACAATACGTATATATTTTGATAAAGTTCCAAAAGGCTTTATAAAAACCCTAGATAGGAAATTGGCCTTACCTAATTTTTCCCGAATGCACTGTTTTTCTGCAATTTATTTTTTTACTATATTGACATAAGCAAATGGAATAAACATCTACTCAGTGGTAAGCTTAACTTAAAGAGTATACTAACCTTTGAGTTGAATGTTATCTAACGATTTTAGATGACCGGCTTTGTCATTCAAATCCAACCAATTTGAAACACCAGACCAGGCACTGCTGATATATTTCTCCTAAAATCTTAAAGTGAATTAGATATGTACATAAAAGCAAATAGAAATACTATTTTCTAGTATATGTAATGTCAACAAAACATGTGAGACTGATGTATAGTAGCAAGCATGGTAATTTGTACTTGTTTTCAAAGTTATCATTATCTTGTCACTTGATGTGTCAGTTTGAGTTCTCTCAACTGTAATGCATGCCTATGATTATGATAAATAACGCAGAGCATACCATTTAATTTGGATTCGATGGCACATTATATATACTTATTGAAAAGATTCATCCTGATAATCTGCCTCAATTGTGGTGGATCCAGGATGCAAAAGAGTGGGAGCATCAATAACTTAGGGAGTGTAATTTAGCAATAAAATCTAATGTGGCTAGCTAAAAAAAAAGATAACAGTAAAGAAAAGGAAGACTTGACCTCTTGAAATTCGTAAATGAAAAAAAAGTCAGGAATGCGAGTGCAGTTAATTATATTACACCATGAATCACTAGTCACAGCTTACGAACAATAAACCGACATATCACAAAGAACTAGGGTTGAAAATGCCAAAGAGATAGGGCCAATTTCTCCTCATCTTGTTTCACATCAGGGCAATTTAGTAAAAGTCTTTCAATCTTCACTTACATTCATAGTACCACAGCATCCTGTGTGTACTTGAGGTTCTAACAACACTGTCGTTTATTTCTAAACATAAAATTGAGAATGGAAATGGGGAATGTGTCAAAGAGACAACTACCCGACCATAGAGCAGACAACAGCCGAAGGCCACCAATGGGTCTTCAATGCAGCGAGAAACTCTCGCACCCGGAGGCGTCCTTCAGCTGGTCCCTAAACAAATATGTATACTAGTTCAGTGATAATGGACGTCATACTAAACTCCAAATTATACACAAGAAACTAAAATTAAAAAATGATACAAGACTAACAAAGGCCAGAGGCTCCTGACTTGGGACAGGCGCAAAAATGCGGCGGGGTTAAACATGTTTTTTGAGATCTCAACCCTCCCACTATACCTCTAGCCAATGTAGAAAAAACAAACGTACAACAGTACGCACAGTAAAACTCAGTTTAAGAGAAGTCCGAGTCCGATGTCAGAATAGGAAACAAAAGAAAATAAACAAAATGACAATAATATATAAATAACAACAGACTACTAGCAGTTACTGACATGCCAGCTCCAGACTATATAGATATAGGAAGATGTGGTATGAGTGCCAATGAGACAACTCTCCATCCAAGTTACAATTTATAAAAGTAAACCATTATAGGTCAAGGTACGGCCTTCAACACGGACCCTGGGCTCGCATCGAACAGCAAGCTATAAAGGGCACCAAAAATTACTAGTGTAAAACCATTCAAGCGGGAAAACCAGCCATCTTATCTACATAAAAACGAGAAACGAGAAACACGTATAAACTACATAAACAGACGACAACTACTGTACATCAGATTCCTGACTTAGGACAGGTGCAAACATTTGCAGCGGGATTAAACGTTTTAATGGTACCAAACCTTCTCCCTTTTCTGAAACAATAGTATAACATCACAACATACAAAGACATACTATAAAATATCAATTGGAAGGCTTAACTCAATCAAAAAACTCAATTTAACACACAATGAACGAATAAATTTGATCTGTGATACCTGAATGCAAATACATAGTTAATAAAAATTATAAGGGATAAATAAATAAGGTCAAAAGTAATTAACAGGTTTAAACAAAGTTAAAGTATGATACCATTGTGAAATGTTAACCAATATTTAGAAAATCATCACTTTTGAAAAAACCTGTGTCAAATTATACACAGGTAAATGAAAATAATTTTGTTGTTAAGTATACTTCTTCTTCTGTGTGTATAAAATCTAGACTATCAACGCATAAAGCTACATGCAAGCTGTAATTATGACCCGGCTTAATTTGGCGGAGTATTCATCCAAACATGTGCACTGGGGCATTCTTAATCAAACACTATAAATCCTATCAGAACTAAAGTTTTTTTATTGCATTTTAGATACAAATAAATTCGTTTTGCGTAAAGATGTCATTTGATGCAAATATTTTACAAAAACCAGTTAAATTTTCAAAACTGATTTTAACACCAATTTTGTAAGCATGTTTCTATCGAAATTATCAACTGGATTGCGTCTACCTATGATATGTAAAAAAACAAAATAGAAAACTATGTCAGAGATCATTACACCAACACGTCATATATTGGCATTTATATTTAGTTAAACTCGTGAAAGGATGTCTTAACTTCCGTTTATAAAATCATGTTTCATTTGCAACATTGAAGTTTGTTTAGTACTTCTTATTTGACAAGTTATGAATTATATATATAATGTATTTCCCGTTGACCTGGCATAAGACGCCGGAAGTATGAAGGGTTGCTAAAACATCTTCAGGAAATATTTAAACTTACTATTCAGGTGTTTTGAAAAATCATAAAAACAAGTCATTATTTAGTTAAATATTTATAAATTTCCAAGATTTTTTTATTGAAACGAAATGATACCTAACATTACGTCTGTTTTTCTTTGTTGTTTTTCTTTGTTTGTTACACAAGGAAAATATTGCATGTTCCAGTTGTCGTACAGTGCATGTTCAAAATGTCCCTAGTGTAAAATTACCATCAAATAGTTGGAAAAATATAAAGATATTGATAGGACAATTAAAAAATCACAAGTCGCCTAATGCAGACTCAAGACAAAACAAAACCCAACTCAAAACAATCTTATTAAATATGGAGACTAAATAATATGCTCCAGAAGTGTAAATATGTCGCTATCCTATATTTTAAACTCAGTGATGATAACAACAAAGTCCCCATTTGAGTTACTATAGGAATGCGCCCAACGGCCAAACAAACATAACTACAACCTACCACCTTTATATATGTGTAACTCATGTTTATCTGGAGGATAGCAAATAGGAGATTACGTAATAGCCGATCGGTAAAAAGGAAGAAGAAACCATGGTAAAATAAAAGAATGAAATGTCAAACAACGATATATAAGTCAAAGATCGTCTCCAGACGAAATAGAAGAAAAGATATAAACCACTACATACAATTATCAAATAAGATAAAATAACATATACCCTACTAAAATTCAATAATGTACTCCGAGTATCTGAGATGCACCTGCAAAGTTAGAAGCTCCTGTTTAACTTGTAGAACCAGTCGTTTTTCTCATGAAAAGTAAAGAGGCATTGACAAATCGCATTCAGTAGTAATTCACTGACGAAGGAAGCGGGATTGTGGATACATCAAATGGACATTTTTGTGGTTGTCTGTTACACAGAAATTGTAACAGATATTCCATAACAGTGCCACCAAGACAAGAAGGCGGTTGTTAAACTTTCGGAGAGATGACATCATCTTCACCAGTTAGTCCCTGGTTTACTCATTTCAATGTAAGTAGCAAAACTCTACCAAGAAAATTCTTATAGGAAGACAAGCTCACTAATTTTATGACAATAGTCTGTCTACTCCGTATGCTGATATAGTTGGAATGTTGATAAATAGAAATGAAGAGTTCACATTACTTATTAGGACAGTTAGTCATATCTTTTGTCGAAATATTTAAGTTTCAATCGACTCTTACTATCAAATTGAATGATAGATCAGACAATGCATAAAAACCACATACACTAAAAAGTATAAAAAAAACAACATCGAAAACACCAACAAAAACTAGACGAAACCCTGAGAAATCAGTATTCAACCCACGTGATTCATCAGGGTTTATATTAAGTTTCTGTTGGCACCTCGATTTATTTTACAATGTTTTTTAAGCTAGTGGCTTTTAACAACGTAACGTTCGTGGTGATGTTTAAGCCAGAAAAGCGCTTCGGATGCACGAAATTTATAAGCTGTCATTTTCATTTACTTATTGCATTATTTAAAGTAAACTAAAACCATTACTTTAAACTGATATCACATCTATAAAACGGTCTTATCGAAAGAACTATACACGTCCATATTTATATTTTTTGTTGATTATTATCTCCTCGTGGTGAGTTTTGACAATCTAAACTTCGCGGGATTTACACATTTGTTTTTAATATCTGTTTAAAGTGATATTCCTAATTCCATGTAGCAGAAGATAATCACAGAAAAACGGAACATGTCACATTGTTCATAAAAACAGATATTTCTCAATTTTTTTAATTAATTTTTTACATACACGCATGGGTATTAATCGTTACTCACGAGTGTTTAATTAGGGTTTTATGGAAAAAAAATCCACAGGATTCATTACTGAAATTTCTGTTATGACAAGAACCCAATTAACTTTTAAAAAAGGCAAGAAATAGAAAATACGAATTCAG